GGCCCAAAATGCTGTCACCACTTCGTTCTTCAAGGTCCGCTGCCCCAAAGTCATGCATCTGTGGCGGACGGCCAACGATGCTGTCCCTTTCCTAAGGCTTGCTGCGTCAACGTCATGTGTCTTCACATGCAACAATTTTCCATTCACTGTCCTTAAGCCGCTTAACCGACATTCCACTCGCACGCATACATGCGCACACGAACGTCTCCAGAACGGTCGCGGGTTTCTAAGGGCCGGGCTGTGGTGCACGCAGTGGACGCTTTCTCGGATACGACGGGACTGATTGTTGGTGTAAGATAAGTGCCTTCTAGAGGGACCGTGTGGTAGATACGCTGGACCAACACAGAGGCAACAACCTACGCCCATGCAAATACCTGGAACGCGAACATATTCATTCATTCATTAAAACTAATTCCTCTGCCTCACCGTGCTGTTGGCAGTCGAACTGTCGTTGTAAAATCAGCCACTTTTTGACTCGCTGCCAGGAGGTGAAGGGCTACATAAAAGCACGGGCATGTATTTTTAACTAAATATGGAGAAGGACCGTAAGAAGGCAACCACGCGAGAGATCAGACGCAGTAGCGGGAGGCGAGAGTTAAGAGTTGTGTTTGTTAGGAGCCAGTCTAACCGACTCGCTCCCATGCCATATCACAGGTCTGCCCACACGCAGTGTACGTGGTGACAGCGCACAAGCTGCGCCCAGACAAGAGACTCTACGCCGCCAGTCGGATGAGTCAAAAAGCCAATGGAGTCGCTATTCGCTTGAAGACACTATCTGATTGGTCCGATCTTGTGCACGTTTGCTCACGCTCTGCTTACCTTAAATGTGCTCTAACTAGGTACACTACTAGACTTTCTCCCTTGTGTCCTTGCTGCTGTGTCCTACTTTGGGGATTCAAACAAGGTCTTGCCGGATGACGGGATCTCACATGCTCTCACGGCAGTCGGCGAGAAGAGCAGGCTAGCTGGGTCATACCCGCATAAAAGCCGCCCACGCCGTAGGTCGAGCAAACGAGACGACCGCCAACACAGTGTGGGCAGTAGCCGCAGTCGAGAAGGTTGCAGAATGTCCAGGCGCACGCCATAAGCCACGAATATTCTAGAAAGACGAGAACCTTACAAATACGCCGGAGTGGACAAGCTAAAAGAAACCGTAAAACCCGCTGTCTTTGTGTTGTGTTGAATGGAGCCGTTGCCATCAGAACCGCTCTCTTGCCTCATTTTGCCTACTAGTTGGGTTATAAGGACTGGGCTAATACAATAGCACTGCTGTCCTGAGCCCACAAAAAAGAAGCTTGTAAAAAATCTGATGAGATTTTGCCCGAATTCCAAGCAACCCACTATACTTCGGAGGGTAAGGGGGGGGGAGGGCGGGGTAGATGAAATGCAGGGACACTCACATGTAGGCTAGTTCCTGCGGAAGCTCACCATCAGAAGCACTCGTAGTCAACTCCTCGCCGCCCGCAGAGCCCTCTGCACCCATCTGTTGTTGCTGCTGCTGTTGACTCTTTGCGAAAAACTGCCTACGGTAGTGCGGCAGACGCAGAATGTTGCCCAGATAAATCAGCGGATCCTTTGTCAACCTGTGGCCAATCATATCAAGCAGAGTGACGGCAGAGACGAGGGAGTTGACTGCATCCTCTGGAGGCTCCGGG